TTAAGGCACGATGCCATGCACCACTAGTTAAATCATTCTAATTGCTTGACCCGTGTTGATATCTTTCAAATAGGCTTTAAATATCTGTAATTGTATTAATTACAGCCCACAAATATGCGCTAGTACGTTCTAAAAGCGCATACCATTATTCTAAAATTTAATAAACATTTATATTTTTTTTTAAATATATTTTTATTCTGCAATCTATAAAAATAATTACATTTAGTAGAGAATGCTGACAAGTTGTTTACAATTAATTGTCTACAAATTAGTAGATACCCCCAGTGGCGTATCTACCAGCGCTAATATAAAAAAAATAAAGACAAATGGGGAGAAAAAAAATTAAAAAAACTATAAATAAACTATATTAGATATCCAGGTATTTTTCTTTTGAGCCTGGTCGGCTGCCCTTCTTGGTATAAATGACTTGCTAGTTGGTTAGGATGAACGTCAATTATGTTCTTATAATTAATAGCAACCATTGATATATGTTCTTGAATTGTGGGTAAACATTTATAAATTAACCACTTAAATTAAATCCTAACTTGTAAACGATCGAGCAGTTTGTAAAAAAACATCAATAAAAAGTCGTCGCATATACACATATAGACTCACACGCATACTTTTTCCTAATTGCATCTCAAACGATTCAGAATAACTTGAAAAGTCGAGAAAACGTATTTTCTGACAAAAACATAAACATCCTTCCTAAGTTAAAAGGCAGCTCAATTGTTATTTTTTCCATTTATATTATCTCTATTTTTAATTGTGATCATATTTTTAATTCTTTGCGACTATTTTTAATTTAAAACATACTTTTGATCTATATTATTGAGTGAAAACGGATGACACTATTGCTTGACATCAGCTTGTCCAAGATACAAATTGAAATGGAACCTTCTGATTTCCCTTATCTATAGATAGATAATATATTTCATAATAAATAAAAATATGTATTTTTGTGTTTCCAATCAAAAAAGCGTTCAAACTATATCCAGGGCAATAATTGCAAAATTTTCTGTTCACAACCATTAAGTGAAAATATATTATGGGGTAGGGCGGGGAACAAAGGTCCAATTTGACTTTGAGCAATTATATTATAAAAACCAGACCAATTATATCACAACAATAACAGTAAAATTCTAGCTAAAATTTCAACTTTTTGAATTCATCATTTTGAATTCATTTAAAAAAATTAAATAATCTGGTCCTTTTTACCTCATACGCAATAACAGTTTTATTATTCAACCAATGCAAAATATAAATGTATAACATAGTAAAAAACGACGACTTGGTCAGAAATATTCTTCAGCAGAGTTGTAATATTTTTTTTTATTTACTAATTTTAATTTTTTACACCTTTGCCAGGGTAAAGGATCAATTTTTATCCTGCCCATATGCAAGCTCTTATATAGGTTATATAAAAAAAACCGTTGAATCTAACTTAAAATTAACATCTTTTAAAACAATTAAATAATGTGTACTTAAAAATTATATCAAGGTCTCGTAAACTAAACATTGCTCACTACCAAAAAACAAGAATAAAAAAAACTTTTGTTATGGATTTTCAAACATTTTCGTCTATCTCCCGATAACAACGTCGTAAGAATCAACGTGATGGCTCGTTATACATCTTCTTTCCCCTACTTTTAAATATTGTTGTTAAAAAAATTCTAAACTTTACTGGTTTTTAAGATATCGGTGGTGGACCTTTAAACACCGCTCTACCCTATGCCAAATAAGTAATGTCTATGGGTAAAAATATATTATTGTCTATCAGACTTTTGTTTTCAAGTTTTTCTATGCAGCGTACCCAGAACAAAATATTAAGAGCAATGGTAGATGCGCCTTGGTACGTAACTAATGAGACCATCCACAGGGACCTGGAAATTAAAACTGTAAATGAAATTATAAAGACCCGGAGCTGTTCTTACCACAACAAAATCGATGATCATTCGAACGCTGAAATACAAATCATCAACAAAATGGTTCAAACGAGAAGACTCAAGAAGAAATGGCCAAAAGACCTACAATATTGAATTATATACAGACAGCTAGAGATTAATTCTAGCAGTGGATTTCTTCAATGGAGGAGACCTCTAAACGCCAAATATAACTTATCACATAGACTAATAGAAACATTGTCTTCTGATTGTCTATTAAATAATAAATAAAAAAAAAAGTTTTTCTATGTTTTGTATTCCACAGATTGTGTGCGAATTATGCGAATGGCATGTCTGTGCACACATAAATCCGACGGCATTATACGTCAGACGTTTCGGAGCAACTGTTTCAGTTTTGCAAACATCTACCCTAATTAACACAATGTAATTAAATCAATTAAATCCAGCGGACGACGTTTCCCGTGGCTCCGTGAGCGGATCTTGGAAAGATAGAGCTGTACAACAGATATGGGGAAAATTTCGATAAATGTCCTTATTTTAATTTTTTACTTCCCAAAAATTCAAACGCTATGAAAATTGCAGAAAAAGTGGTGCATGAGATCAAACCTTAAGTCAAATTGCTGAAACTTCCCGTACAGTAATTTAATTTTTTTTAAAAAAAAAAGCTTTAGATAAATTAGATTTTTGAGAATTTAGAATTTTTAAAATTATACTTTTTATTCAAATTTAATTTTTTTAGTTTTGATTTTATTTTCTAAATTTTGAAACTTGGAATATTTTTACTTCCCGTAGGGTAAGTTATAGTAATCGCAAAAATCGAAAATGAAACTTTTTATACATCTGTACGTTTTAGAGTTTTTGAGCATTGTGGCATACCTTAGAAAAAATGAATGTATGTGTGTGTTTTTGCATGTGCGGATACAATTTTTCGTCGACGATTCCGAGCACACGGATATACCGATTTGAATGATTCTAAAAACATTCGATACCTATTAATAAGAAGAAGATTAGTATTTGGCAGAGGCAGGTTACAAAGCATACAAATAGCCAGAAAACTGCACCAAAATAATACTAAGATTTTATAATAAATTCATGTTAGGGGGCATACATTAATCACGTGATCAAATTTTTAAGATTTCAACCCTCCCTCCCCCTTGGTGATACCTGGTGATATTTAAAATAAACTTCCTTCTCCCACTAAACATTACGTGTATTTTTAGTTACGAGACAAAAATGTAATTTTTTTTTTGATGTTTGGATTTTTTTTAAAAAAATCTGGTAAAAAATAAACACACGTGGCATCTTACTATACGTAATATTTTGTTATTTTTTGTCAAACACCCCCTCCTAAAAACCTCACTTGGTTAATTAATGACCCCTTACTTTAAAATATGTCAATTTTCAAAATCTCTAACAATGGCCAGAAGATTTTGTATTTAAAAAAGTTTGACGTCCTGCCCATTTCTTCACGGAGAAGAAGTTTATACTTTGCCAAAAAATCCGACTTGCTAAATTCATGTTTTTTCACGTTTCAGGTCATTCTGAATCGTTTGAGATCAGATTTAGAATAAGTAGATGTGTGCATATCGCATTTGTAATCATTTGTATATCCAAGTTAATTTACATTAACTTTGTATTGTAGTAATAGAATTAGTAAGGCGTTGTTTACCAATAATAAAAGTTAATTTGGAACGGTTCATTAACACATGAAATGCACATATAAAATTTACGTTTTAGGCAAAATAATCATTTCTTTTTCGTAAATGTATATTTATTTTCACAATAATATTATTTTGCGATTGTTGTGAATTATATATAGTAAATATTATAAATTAACATAATATCTGCGACATCAATAAAAACATAAGTATTTTATCACGGGATTATATTTGTAGTTTGTATTGTAATTTGTATAGCTAAGTATTACATTTTATAACTTCTTTCAACCAATTCCTCGATGTTTAAGATTAAATGTTGATCTCAAAAGAACTGAATATAGAAACCGTGGATAAGTACTTAAAATAATTTATAAAATAAAATTAAATTTAATGGGTTTACCAATAATGAAACTGATTACAAAGTCATAAAATATTATATTCCACAGATAAAATACGATAGATGTGCTCCGTGAAATAATAATTGTAATTGTTAACCCTTTCCACTCGTGAATTGCAGAATTAATACGGCATCCGAGTGGAAAGGGTAATAGTAAAATTCTGATTATGTATTATATATGAAATGATGTTCCAACTTCACGTTTGATAATATTATCCTAAAACTTTAAGTTATTTATTAGTTTATCAGTTTTAAATTTAAATCTTTAATTTCAATGTGCGTCTTAGACAGTATAATGGGTGCATTTCTACAAGATTTTTATTGAATAAATTCTGGGTAAATAACATGCCTTACATATATTTAATCCTGAATAGTAAAACTTTCAACGCTAATAACTGCAATATCAGTTTCGGGAAAGAAATGTACATATTAATTTACCAAATTCTATATATCATCTATCTTCTGCTCCAAGTGCTGATCAGATATAAAAGATAATGCAAAATAATTATGTTACTATGCCTGCAGCAAAAAGTTTGACCAACATTTTACAAGAAAGTACTTCTGTCATAAATAATTACACTACATAAATTTATTACATTAAATATTAATAAAAAGCGTGATTTTTGTATACTCTTAAATTATTTTTGTAAGGTAACGTGTCAACTATAACTCGAACTATTTTTTCAGGGTCTTCACATATTTACTCATTGATTTGTATTTATATTTTTCAAGAGTAAAACCCACAAGCCAGAAAAAAACAAGTTTAGTATTTATTATCTTCGAAAAAAAAATTAACAAGTGGAAAAGTTACAACTGCGTCACATATATGCATAACTCCGTCAATAAATAAGCACGGCAAAACATTGTCTGTATCATTTATTTATCATTAATTTAGTTTCAAAAAAAAATTAAAGTGATAAAATCTAATGGGTGCTGTGACATCGACTATGATACAATAAATTTCTCCCAATGGCACCACCATCTAACTATCGTAACTTGACTTCCAATAAACCTGAATATTTACAAATTGTAGTGTGAATTTTATCTGGAAAGACCATCATACAATTTGTCTTGTGAAAACTCCACCTGTGTGTTATCGACATTCAGCCGTTGAGGAAGCATGTAGAAGAATTCATGTTTTAGGGACTCATCCAGTGTAATACGTTTAGCAGGATCATATTCCAGCATGACGTTAATTAGTTCAAACAGAAGATGTTCATCTTCATTGTTAGAATACAAATATGCATGTAGGGGTTTATGATTCATTCGGACATAACGCCCTTGAGAACTACAATCATCCCATTCCAGCTCGCCTTTGAAGAAATAGCCTGTTATTGATTTCCTGGTCATCGTTAAAGGCAGTTTTCCCAATATTCGCTCCATCATAGCAAAGTGCTCACGATTGTCAAGTGTTTGGAACAGGGCAATGCCATGGTACAATTCAAAAAGTATACAGCCGATAGACCACACATCACATGGATGCGACCAACCTAATTCTAATATCACTTCAGGTGCACGATAGAATTGGGTTGAAACCAGTGATAAGTGATATTCATAATCGAAGGTTGCGCACCCAAAATCAATCAACCTAATCTCAGTGTTTCTTACTCGCTTGTATGGTTTTGAATTGCATTTTTCATCAACAACAATGTCGTATTCTGAATTAACAAATAAGATATTTTCCGGTTTTAGGTCGGTGTGAGTCAATTTTATTTGATGAAGGAAACGCACAGCAACACAAAGCTGATGAGCCTTATGCCGGATCTGGTCAAGCCCGTAGGGTTGATAATCATTTTCCATTAAAAATTCAAAAACACTTACACCTAATATTTCAAAAGCAATGCAGATGTGGCCATAATAATTTATCCAATTATCCATTCGCACACATAAGAATAAGTTATGTGGATCAAATTTAGAAACTTTTTCTAACACTTTGATTTCCTTCATCGCTGCATCTCTGTATTTGTCTCGGTTTTTAAGAATCTTTAATGCAACTGTCGTTTGATTCTGTGAATCCCTAACACTTACCACTTTACTAAAGGTTCCTTCACCTAACGTACTAATAATTTCATATCTATCTCCAATTGTATCACTAGGTTTGTACATGAGATGGCCCTCCTTATCATCTGCAATCGGGTCTTCCTGATGCTTATTTGTTCGACGGCGACTGTAATCATCTCTATGCCAGTGGTATCTTTGACAGCTCCTTTCACTAGACCTACTTATGTAACTGCGATGATGATCTCCACTCTCGTTTCTACTACGTGTATGTCTGTCTCTATTCCTGGTCCTACTTCTAAGGTGTCTTCTCCTTCGCTCATCAGAATAATTCGTCCGATAATTTGTATGATTCGTAAGCCAACGACAGCGGGATCGCGAACTTTTACGAAAAGACGTTATTTTGTCTCGATATGAAGGCATTTTTCTTTTGGAATCCGTTGCTGTGAGACGTTCTGAAGTAGAAGTTGTAGTTAAATGTATGCAATTGAAGGGAAGTCAATAGTTGTTGTTACTTATCAACTATTCTATAACTTTCACCGTTTTACGGTTTGCATGTCTGCCTCATCATCACTTGCAAATTTTGCACGAAGTACTGATGCCTTCATATCACCACCGCTAGTGCCTATACTCGTACGGAATCACTCAAAATTTTAATCTACCCCGATGACATATTGAGTACTTATTTGTTTTTAAAATTGTGCTTAGCTACTAGATTATTTAATATTGTATGCTTTGATAAATCAAATATTAAAACTTATAGTATATAAACATTGATAATCGACAATGCGTCAATATCTAGTATATTTTACACAGCCTGTCACGAAATAACATGTTCTGAAAATTTGTACAAACTGAATAACCTGCAATAGTTTTTCACATTAAAATGCTCTATCTATATCAACTCGGTATACTTATAAATCACCCAGAATTTGTCATATCCGACTTCCCTAAACTGGTACTAAATCTGTTAACATGTGCAGATATTTGCTTGAAATTTTTTACTAATACAAAGATTTGGGTCGAAAGAAGTGGTCTTTTTCTCGTCTGACAGCCAGTTTTAGGACTTTCCAGGTATATAATGTCTCAAAATAATGCTATTTTGTACTCTACATTCTGTGTACGATAATGTTTGTCCGTAAATGAGCTCTTTCAATGGTATACAATCAGCTAAAAAATATTTAGTATTATATTATAACTTTTACACAATTATGATTTTATAATTGTGTAAAAGTAATAGTATGCTAATCAAACTACGAGAATAATTAATTCTCGAAAAGGAAATAATAAAAATGAAAACTTTTCCGCAGTCTTGGAAAAGAGCTAAAATAATCCTTATAGTAAAACCAGGTAAAGACCCTTATCTATTATCTTCCTACCGGCCGATAAGTTTATTGTCTTGCATATCGAAAATATTTGAAAAGCTAATTTCATGCTTTTGTTTTTTTTGAATTAAAAACTTCATGTCAAAAACCGTTAAAACGATTTTAGCAATTTATTGCTAATTTGTATAACATATAAACCGAAATATCGGATCGATAAGATGGCGGAAGATGTAGAAGATCCAAAATGTTGCAGTATATGTAATATTGATGTTAATGGAAAAAACATTATTGGATGTGAAGGTGAATGCAAAGGTTGGTTCCACAAAAAGTGTGCGAAAGTTACTAATGAACAATATAAAGTTATCAGCACAAGTAACAATATAAAATGGTTTTGTGACATATGCTCAAAAAAAAATGAGGTAAGATATTCACATGAAAGTAATTTGAAAGAAATAGTAAATGAGCTTAAAACTTTAAAGAATGATATTAAAATAATTAAAGATGCAAGATCTAGTTATGCTACAATATGTAAAAATAATGCCACAGAAAATAATAATAATAAAAATTATAAAAATAAAGACATAATAAACCCAAATATGCCGCCAATAATTGTAAAACCAAAGAATAAACAGAACAGCTATGAAACTAGAAACTATATTGAGAAAAACATAAATCCAAAAAACGTAAAAGCAAAAGTAAGATCAATTAACAACATTAGTAGCGGGGGGTTAATAATTAAGGCCTCAACAATTGAGGAAACAAAAACATTAGCAGAACATATGATACAAAAAATTGGAAGCGAATACGAAATATATATAAAGAAACAAAGAAATCCGCGACTTGTTATAACAAATGCTCCAAGGCAATATATGGACGGCACAGAATTGATAAATGAAATGATAGAATATAATTACAATATAAATAACACAGATCAAATTAAACTAATATACCAAAGGAAATCACGAAAAACAGAAAATTGGATTACATATATCGAAACATCGGGCAAAACATACGAAAAATTGTTAGAAAATAATGTAAATCTAGGATGGAGGACAGCTCATATAATAGAAGATTTAAACATAAAAAGATGTTATAACTGTCAGGCATATGGACACAGGGCAGTAGAATGCAAAAACAAGACGTTCTGTGCAAACTGTGCGGATGAGCATAACACAAGAGATTGTAAGAGCAAATCTAAGAAATGCATAAACTGCACAAATGCCAATGTAAAATACAAATCAAATTTTAATACGGTGCATAATGCAAATGAAACGGAATGTTCATGTTATCAACACTGAGCCAAAATGGTAAGAATGTCGACGAATTACAATGGACAAATTCAAGAAAATGAATAAATATAATAGCAATAACAAGAAAATAGAGATTAAGTATTTCAATATAAGAAGCTTAAGAAATAAAATAGATGACTTAGAAATAATTATGCATAAAAATGAAAATTGCCAAATTTTAATATTAACAGAAACTTGGATATACCAAGAAGAAGAAGGATACTTTAATTTAAAAAATTTTAGAGGTTTTTACAACTGCAGAGAAAAGAAAAGAGGAGGAGGAATAGCGATATTTGTAAGAAATGAACTAAACTGTACTGTCATAGAAAATAATAATAAAAATAATATAAACCTCTTGGAAATAGAAGTAACAAATATGAACCCTGTTATAAAGTTTATTGTTATTTACAACCCTCCGAATAATAATAAACAAGATCTGATAAATTTAATAGAAAAAAAAATGGAAGAAAACGGTAAAAATACAATAATAATAGGTGATATGAATTTAGATATAATTCCAAACAATAATATATCAAATTGTTACAAAGATATTATAGAATCATCAGGATACAAAATAATAAATAATATAGATAGCCAATACGCCACAAGGGAGACTCAAAACACTAAATCAATAATTGACCATGTTATATCAAATTATAAAAAGAAGATTAATATAGAAATAGAAGACACAGAAATATCTGATCACAAAATGATAACAGTATTTATACAAAATACGCCGAGAATCAAACCAAAAATGCATAAAATAATTAGATATAGCATAGATTTAGAAGGATTAGAAAAGACAATAACTTGTAAGTTAGACTCTAAAATAGTGGACCAATTAGAGGATTTAATAAAAATTATACAAGATGCAGCAAAAGAAAATAAAATCAAAGAAACAATAAGAGCCAGAGAAGATACCTGGATAACAGAAGAAATTATTAACTTAATGAAATACAGAAACAAATTCTACAATAATTTAAAGAAATGCAATATAAATGAAGTAAGCAAACATAATGCCATAAAAATGAAATATAATAATATAAAAAAAGATATAAAAAATATGATCTACAAAGCAAAAAGACAATACTATTCAGAAGAAACAAAAAAATGTGAAAGTGACTCTCGAAAAATATGGGAACTAATAAATAAAACATTAGGAGGAGGAAAAAATAAAAACGAATATAAAGAAAATATTGAAAAAATACAGCATAAAGATAAAAATATATTTCTTACAGAAAAGGAAGACATTGCGGAGTATCTCAACAAACATTTTGCTGAAATAGGTATGAAACTACAAAAGAAAATGGATCATTGCAACTATAAACCATCAATACACAGACCTAAAAACAAAATCCAAATTTTTGAATTAACAGATGAGAAAGAAATAAAAAAAATTGTTGAAAATCTGAAAAATAACGCTGCACCTGGCGAAGACAAGATAACAGCAAGAATCACTAAAAAAATAATAAATATAATAGCTCCACTACTTGCTGTTTTAATGAATAGATACATAGAATGTGGTGTATTTCCATCGTGTCTTAAAATGGCTACAATAAAACCAATTTTCAAAACAGGAAACAAAACAGATCCAAATAACTACAGACCTATAACAATAACAAACACATTCTCCAAGATATATGAAAAAGTAATAAAAAAAAGATTACTTGATTTTCTCATTCAAAAAATTGACAAAAATCAATATGGTTTCCTCCCTTCATCAAATACACAAGGTGCCCTAATAGATTTGACTAATACCATCAGTCAGCACCTTGAGGAAAATATGCACACAGTTGCAATTTTTATTGATTTACAAAAAGCTTTCGATACAGTAGATCATGGCATATTACTTAATAAACTAATAGATTTAGGTGTAGAGGGTTTGTCTTACAGCATTATCAAAGATTTCCTCATGAAAAGAGTGGTAAGGACGAAGGTGGGAAATTTCACAAGTGGAGGATGTAACATAACCTGTGGAGTTCCACAAGGTTCTGTATTAGGACCTTTATTGTATCTATTATACACCAATAACCTTAAAGACGCAAAATTAAAGGGAAGATACATATTATATGCAGACGATACAGCGATAGTATATGCGGATAAGGATAAAAAAAGACTCGAAGATATTATAAACACGGACATGAAAATATACACCGAGTGGCTAACTGAAAATAAACTAACAATTAACATAGATAAAACAAAATACATATATTTCAAACATAGAAAAAATACTGAGAACACTAAACTAAAAATTGAAGTAAATAATAGAGCAATAGAGGAAGTGGAAAGCATAAAATACTTAGGACTGATAATAAATGAAAAACTGACATGGACAGACCATATAAACAAAATAAAAAGAAAGATAGGAACATTAACAGGGGCATTGAAAAGGATCCACTCTTTCGGCAAAAAAAATAAAATACTAATTCTTAAAACGCAAATAATACCTATAATTTTATATGGCATAACAACATGGAGCCAAACAACTAAAGCAAACCTAAATGACATACAGAGAATAATGAATAAAGCCATAAAAATAGCATATAATTTACCACATCTAACACCCACCAAATACTTGCAGAGAGAAACAAATAATCATTCACTAAATAACATAATTAAAATAGAGAAATGCAAACTAATACACAAAATGAAATTTAACCGAATTAAAACAAGTGCAACAATAGACACAAATCAAGATATACATGAACACTACACGAGACAACACAACAATTTTCACATTGAACGCAATAGAAAAAAGAATTTGAGAGAAAATGTCATATGGAGTGCTACCAAAATATATAACGAATTGCCAGACTATATTAAGATGACCAATGATAATGATAATTTTAAAAGAAAAATAAAGAAGTACTATATGGAAATTGAAGAAAAAGAAGACTGAAGAGTTATATATAGATATTATATTAATGAAATAAATATTATAGTCAAATGAAATGTAAATATTATATGAAAACTGTTTTTCATAATCTCTCATACCAGGCACCTCTGTCTGACTGAGATATGAAAATAATGTATATATGTAAATAAAAATAAATAAAAATAAAATTCTTCAACGGATTAAAATAATCCTACAAGAACAAAGTTTTATTCCGAATCATCAATTTGGGTTTCGCGACAAACATTCAACAATTGAGCAAGTTCACAGAATAATAAACGTAATTAACAATGCGCTGCATAATAAAGAGTACTGTTCTGCGGCTTTTTTGAATCTCAAGCAGGCATTTGACAAAGTATGGCATACCGGATTAATGTATAAAGTTAAAAGATGTTTACCAGATTCTTTATTCCTATTAATAAAATCCTATTTACAAAATAGAAACTTTTTTGTCAGCATCGCCGATACGGACTCAAATATTACCGAAATTAATTCTGGAGTGCCTGAAGGGAGTGTCCTCGCCCCAACACTACTTTTAATTTTTACAGCTGATTTTCCAACTTCAACTGACACGAGTTTAGCCACATTTGCTGATGATACGTGCATCATCGCCACAAACAAAGATCCGACTGCAGCTTCCAACAGCCTTCAGCACCATCTCAGCTTTGCTGAGAAATGGTTTTCGTTGTGGAGGATAGAAGTAAATAGCACAAAATCAGTCCATATAACTTTCACGCTTCGCACCCAAACTTGCCCAGCAGTTGTACTCAACGATGAAATTATTCCGTCCAAAGAATCAATAAAGTATCTCGGCATTCACTTAGATAGGAAACTCAACTGGAAAGTACACATAAAGAACAAAAAACAACAAATAGATCTAATCTTCAAAAATTATTATTGGCTCTTAAACAGAAAATCAGAATTATCAACTTACAACAAATTACTTATATATAAGGCTGTGATCAAACCCGTGTGGACCTACGGATTACAACTTTGGGGTACTGCTAAAAAGAGCAATTTAAACATAATACAACGAGCACAAAACAAATTCCTGCGGCAAATATTAAACGCTCCTCACTACACGCCAACATGGATTCTCCACAAAGACACGGGTATACCTACAATTCAAGAACATATATCAATGTTTGCCTGTAATTATAAGAATAGAATTGACGCACATCCAAACCAACTAGCATGCAACTTATACCAGGAAGGCCAGCCGACCAGGCTCAAAAGGAAATTACCTCGAGATTTATTATAGTTTATTTTTATATATATATATATTTTTTCTTTTCTCTCTCTATATTTGTCTTTAGTTTTTTCTTTTTATATATTAACTATAGTAGATACACCACTGGGCGTATGTACTAATTTGTAAACAAGCAATTGTAAACACTTGTCAGCATTCTCTGCTAAATATAATTATTTTTATAGATTGCAGAATGAAAATAAAATTAAAAAAAAAAAGGAAATAATAAAAGAATGTGAGGTATTATTATTTTGTGAAAAATATTACACACAAAGATTTGTTCTTATTTCATACATAAGGTTCACTGCATTATTTTCATATAAAAATAAACATATTCAAGGAATTCTATATTTTCTCTTCAAAAATAATTGCAAAATTATTGATCTTGATTCTCAAGTTTTTTGTCAATTTGAGATTTGTATGCATATTGAAATGCATAAAATAGTAATTATTATAATAAAATGAACAAAAATGTTTGAACTATTTGTAAACTATTTCCAAAGTCGTAATAAATCCTTAGATATGTTAACAACACACTAGAGAACACATTTGTGTCAAGTATTATGTTTCAAAGTTGTCGGAGTCGTGGAGTTGTTAGTGGATATAACTCCTCTCTGAAACGGAGTCAAAACTAACCGGTCCGGCTTCGGATATGATAAGCCCATCTCTACTACCTATATATACACACTAAAGTTGGGTAACTCCAGAGTGACTTATATCCGAGGATATAACTCCTCTCTCGGAGTGAATCCAAGCGGAGTAGTAGTATCAGAGAATTTGTTATATCCGACTTTGCAGAACTGGTTCTAAATCTGGTACAGATATTTGCTTGGAATTTTTTACTAACAAAGCTGTCGCTTTTTGGTCTTACATGCAATTTTATGACATCCTAGTTATGAAATGACCCAAAATATTGCCATATTGTATTTTCATAAATGATAACTGCTGAAATACAGAACAATTAAATTGTGTTCAAGTGTATATCAATTACTTTTTCCGTTGTCAGTCTTTTTGCTTTCAAACACGAAAAATCCCCTTGCTGTCCCATTTTACCACGACAATAAGACAAAAAAACTAGGTGACAAAAATTTGGAAACAAGGCAGAAAAACGTATTTCTACAATAATGAATTAGCTGAGAGTTTTACTGAACATAGTCAGATAGTTGTTTGTTCGATATGTGGTATTTGCTGTGATGTAAATGGTTTCGATTTCATAATATAACTGCTCAAAGTCAAGTTGGACCTTGGGCCAATATATATATTTCATATCCGTGGATATGAACAAATTGGAAAAATGAGAGACAAAGAAGTGGTTCGTTTGCTTCGTTATACGAGCCAAATTCGAGATATGAGCCGGCTAAAGAGCGATTCGTTGTTTCATCATATAATCAACATATTAGATAAGTGCGAGTGAGAGGCATAACGTAAATTTATAAGGATGCGAAAGAAACAGGTTCATCTAAAATCAGTTCTAATAACGATTTTCAAATGCGAAGTCGCGTTTAATTATCATACAAATACATAAAGTAAATTATTTTAAAGTTAAAAATTCCAATTTATTAATTTTAATGTTGTATATTTTTACGGGCAATGTGCGACAAAGTTGAAATGTTTTTAGATAAAAATCACCCCGAAAAAGATACAACTGGATAAGAATTGTTTGGCAAAACATGTTTAACTCATTTCCGAAATACTACAATAAGGTGAAAAAAATACTCATTGGATAGTTTTTTAAACGCAAATACTAGCAATTTTTATTTAGTAATTTGCTATGTTTTTGCAGAATATGTATTTGATCTTAGCAATATTGTTTTATTCATGTATAATATCAAAACAACACTATGCTAGATCGAATTAATGGCTTTTCAATGTATTTATATGGAAAAAATGTTTCGAGATACGAGCAATTCGACATGCGAGCGTGGTTATGGAACGAATTAAGCTCGTAAGGTGGGGTATCACTGTACATTGCATATATTGTGTTATACAGTTACAAGTATAATATATAAATATAAAACTCTATAATATATTATTTTTCCACATGATCGAATGTATCTAGAAATAATTACCCAATCTCAATATTCTTTAAAAAATTCAAGAACGTTTAAATTAAAAAAAAAAACGAAATAAAATCTGACATATTAAAATATTTATTCTTCTTTGATATTTAGAGAGTTTGATCTATGAAAATATGCACAAGTAAATATATAATAAATATTATGCCTGAATATAATATAATATAAATAATAATGTCGATAAATTATTAAAACCAAGTATTACCATCCCTATGTTCGTCCCGCATACCCAAATCCCGAATGTCGCGCAAAAGCTGAACCGTCCCGCCTCATTCCCGCACTGGCATCAATATTAATCCGGTATCTAAGTTGAGAAAAATGTTTATTAAATTGCTTTTCCATAATAATTAATCTTAATAATTAATTCTTTATGAATTTTTAATGAAAATTTAATTAACTTGTTTTTATTGATCCATCGCTGCTGGTGAGAATATATTAACACATATTATGCAAGTATAATGTTTTTTATACAAATTATTGCGTATTATATGAGTAGGTTACGGAGGGGCACAAAGGTCCAATTTGAATTCGAGCAATTATATTGTAAAACCAAACCAATTACATCATAAAAAAATACCACATACGGGTCGATTGTGATTAGTCGTCGTGTATGTGACTAGAGATTTGTCGTTGTATGCGTACCGGCATCAACGTTGTATGCGTTCCGATATCAACAAGGAAATCGGCATAGATAAATAAACATTTTAAAGTTACATCGTAGTACAAATGTTGATTTAATGAAAAATGCCTGAATCAGAAGAATATTTTACTGTTCCTTGAAAATATCAAAACAAATTATTTGTGCTATATTATTCGTGTTCTAGTTAATAAACTTATTAAATGAAAAATATTTCTTATGCAAGACATATATTACAGCTGTTCAAAGAATGAGATTATATCGCCAGCGAAAAAGAATACAAGCATTCAATGAATGTATGTTAATTTTTAATTACATGAAGTTTTTCAAACACAATTACATGATGAGTGAAGTTGCAAAAACAATATTTGATTAGGTGTGGTTTAACATAACCTACTGTGTGAACGAGAATTTATTAATCAGCAATTACTTCACTTTTCATTTCTCTAGGAAGGTTCATTTCTAAATGCTAATTACAATGACAAACCGATCATATCATATTTAAAGTATGACTTTAATTACATTATTGTTTTAAATATTATATATATTTTTTAATGCTATGATACATATTTTTAATGCTATTATAAATATATAATTTATAATTTATCATTATATAAATGTGTATAATGGTTGACACTAATAAATGTGTGCATCACGAGTGTTACCATATTACTAATAAACATTATTCAAAATTGTTATATGATGTATTTATTTTTACTTAAATGCCATCTTGTACAGTAGCAAATAAGTTTTACTTCAATCGCGTTTAATTATTTTGAACAACAAAATTGAAAATCATAATCTAAACATATGTATTGTTAAACATAATAAACAAAACATTTTCCGACTTTTACTTCTTGTTTACTTGTATTGACTTTTCTTCTACTTTTCTCTTTCAAATTTGTATCTAAAATCTAACTTAAGATTTTTTTCATCTGTTTGAATTTCACCCAATAAGGACAAAAATACATGTCACATGAATCAAAACTAATTGCTGGTAATTAACTACTAATGTTCAACTTACAGCAAAATAACAAAGTGATCTATTGTATACAAGTAACAATTATTATTGAAAGAAATCGAACAAAATAACTTACTTTTGGCTCTTTAAACGCAATTTGGTCGACAGATCATGTTAATGCGGGGCGCTGACTGAATGCAATAATGTAAACTTGTTCGAACAAACATGCTTCATCTTTTTCCTTTTAGACGCTATCTCAAATTAGTATAGTTTATCTGTTAAGGCGACTGTCATCTGTTTTCTGTAACCTGGCACAACCGTACCCAGTCTCCCCTACTTAGAGTGCATAATAATATAGGTACTTTATGCGATATACAAGTGAACAAGCTCATTTACATAAGTAAATGGATTAATATTTTGCATGTTCACTTTTCACAGCACACTAATAAATCCTGGAGAAGCAAGAGTTCTGATAATTTGGGTATAAATAACTATTCAGATCAATGTTACATCTGATTTGTTCAGCCACTAATATCGATTTCCCGTCAGTGCGTATCATCCCTAAGGTGGCGATTCCTAAGGGTGGCATAACACCGGCACCACTTAGCTCCATTTAGCAGTCGCACTGCCTCAGTGACCGCACTTTCGTGAAACGACATTTGAAATATCACCGATTCAACGTTTGTCGATTTTTGGCAACGCACAGGGTTGATACGATTAGTTGTCTTAGAGATTTTATATCCAAAAAGATTGTACGAAAACCAGACACCATCTGCTTATTTGTTCGTTACAGCAGTTGGCAAGCACTTAGCACATAAAAATATAAGTGATATCTATTTTATTTGAAAAATATAAATGTATATCTATATAAGTACAGACATATAAATATATAAGCACTTAACTACAAAACATAATAGTCAACATACATACATATATTCGTACATATATGTATATTTAAACTACGCGTTCTATTAGCTGTTCCTTATCCTACTTTTATCAGAATGCATGATGTGATGTATCATAATTAAATTTATTATTAAATATTAATTTAAATATTATTTCACCAATGCGCAAAAAGGCTTTTTCAATTGAAATCTTATTTTAGATCTATAATCTCATGTAAAAACTGATATTGCTACTGCTTAATACCAAGCATAAGTAGAGTAACGTGGAAAGTATATAACCATTACATACGTGTATAAATCCCTGGTACTATATTTAGTAAAATCACATTATTTAATAAATTTATATTATTTACTAAATTTATTAAAACACTATCATTGAAAAATCGAGAAAGTGAAATCTTGA